TTATGTCTTTAGCATTTCAAAACACTAATCTCTCTGTCTCATTGTTTTATTCCCTAACATTTGAGCAGAGGTGAAGATTTCAGGTGCAGAGAGTACAAATCCAGACCAGGATTTTGTTTCAACCAACCAGTTGAGTCCTCTGTGACTGTGAGTCTTTATGCTCAAGTGGTTGGTTGAAACGAAATCTTGGGCTGGATTTGTAGTCTCTGGACCTGAAATCTCCACCTCTGCATATGAGCTTACAGACGATAGAACATCATAAGATGCCAGTTGCTGTGCTCTTGTAACATTTCACCTGGCTGGCAGGTGTGGCTGTAATCGCACACACCTGTCCAAAGCTGTTAATGGGTATGGGGCTTCTGTTATTTTTGTGTGTCGATTTAATAAAAAGAATAAATCACTGATACTAAGATTACTACCTCTCTGTACAGGTAAGGTGGCCGTATACTTCAAACGATGTTTGGCCAAAACGAAATTGAACATGTCTGCGAGAACAATCTAGGATAGAAAAAATGATAAACATCGCATATTTAAAACGACACGGTTGCCTTGTTCATTCTGTGTCACGTCACAACACTAGAGGGCGCTGAATGCTTTCGATGCAACAGATCCACAAACATACTGTATATGGTGAGTGTGAGTCATTTCAGTAAAGGGGATGACAGCTCCCACAACCACTATAGGTTTAATACTAGCAGTGACACAGACAGGGAAGACAACAATTTACACAACACCCATGGTTACACGTGTCAATGCATGCATTCCATGGCAATCGTTGCACGGTTATGACATTTACTATCAACGTAAATACATGAAAATACATATTAGTTTACGCTATTTAAAGACGTGCACGGTGCCGAGCAAAGCATGCCGGTAACTGCATAATCAGTCCTACTGACCAGCCCTGGGGCGTCACATCTGTCAACCAATCATGGCTCATTGGGGGGAGCAGAACGCAATGAAAATATTGTCCTTGGGAACCCTGCCCTGCCCGTGCAGCAGAACCCTCAATGCCGCGGTAATTATGGCTCAAACGACATTGTATTGTTAAAACAAGGTTGATTCCTTCGATATTGTCTGAAGTATACAGCCACCATTAGATTGCTTAAACCAGTGTTTCTCAACACCGTTCCCCCAATTCCTCAACCAATCAAGATCACCAAATACCTGCTACATTTGTGTTGGTAGCTAGCAGGGACCGAAATGTGGACTGTCTGGGCGTAGCTGAGGATTGGGTTGAGGTATTGATGATATTTTAAATGCAATTTTTCTGCATGTGTTTCCCTCTCCAGATGGTCTAATTGAATTGTTGGGACCCTTTGACAGTTTCTCCTTTGGGCGACATGAAGACTTAACCGTTTTCTTTTCACTGAACATTACATGTTGTATAACCTCCCAGTGTTTAGGTTTGTAGAGATGGAGGAATGACATTGCAGTAACTTTCCCATTCCTCTGTTCATGCTCTGTGAAATTCTGAAAAGCCTCCTCTGTGTTATTTATCTTGTTTGAAATAAAATCAAAATGTGACAGTGAAATGTTCTTTGTCGTTCATTTATTAACAGTATTTGATGATTACAATAATTTTTTCTTACTTAAGATAGAGGTACAGGAAGATGTTTTGAGCTCAAGCTGATAAAAGTTGGAACGACCAATTAAACTTTACTGATTTTCTATTATTATTATTATTATTTTATTTATTTATTCATTTATTTATTTATTTATTCATTTGCATCATTCGTGGCTATCAACAGCTAACAGGATAACACGCCTGAAAACGTAGACCAGGGGTGGCCAATCTTATCCGCAAAGGGCCGGTGTGTATGCAGGTTTTCGCTGCAATTCCCTAATTAGGTCACGTATTAGAGGACTGATTGGCTGAAGAGTCCTCACACCTGGGTTTGACCAGCTGACCTGAAGGTTACCCCAAAAACCTGCATACACACCGGCCCTTTGCGGATAAGATTGGCCACCGCTGACGGAGACGGAGAGAAGGTGCAACTCCACACACGCAGAGCAGGGGAGGCAGGGGATACCGTGCTGGACCCCCATGACATAATTTACGACACCTTGTAGTGGTTAATGTGCCGGCCAAGCGACTTACGACGACTCGCACATACACCGAAATGTTGTTTTTTTTAATTTACTTTAAGTAAATGTGTGTAAAAAAGGTATGCAAAAATAAATTTTGGGTGGCGGTATGCTCAGCGGTGATGTGTCACCTAGCATTCACTGCACGCCATAAGCTGCCAGGGTACTATTCCTTATGGCAACGTGAGCACCCCAGTCTGACATGCATCTGTCTCATTCTCACGTATAAAAGTCAGTGTGATTATCCTGTTCTGACGTACGTCCATCTCGATGTACAGCTTGTCTGTCGGAATGGAACTCTGCCCTACGATGTTCTGATACTGCATTACCACCAATAGCCAGAGGAGGTGCTGAAGCTCCCTTAGTGCCCCTACTTCCAGTGCTACTGATTTAAGACTAATGTGGTTCCTTGGGGAGAATCAGGGTACTGACCAATCCTAATCATACAAGATCACTTAATTAAATTTAAATGATGCAAGACAGACATCAGCTGGTAGGTCGACTCATTAAACATGTACATATTTACCTGTGTGATGTTAAATCCTGCACCGGATCCATCCTCACCACCTTCTACCGAGGCACCATAGAGAGTGTGCTGACCAGCTGTATCTCCATCTGGTTTGGCAGCTTAAAAGCCTCAGACAGGAAATCGCTGCAGAGAGTGGTGAGGACTGCAGAGGGGATCGTCGGGACTTCTCTTCCATCCATCCAGCACATTGCACTCAAACGCTGTCTCAGCAGAGCCCGTGACATCATCAGAGACTCCGCCCACCCCCACCACGGACTGTTCGCCCTGCTGCCCTCTGGGAAGAGGCTTTGCAGCATCAGGACCAGGACGGCCAGATTCTGTAACAGTTTCATTCCTCAAGCCATTGGACTCCTGATCTCATAATAACTTATGGCAACCCCTCCCCAACCCACCTCCCCACACTCACATGCCACTTTTTCAAGAACTTTTTCATTTTTAAAATGTCTTGCACTATAACTGAAACGGTGATGTACGCTGGTTTTTGCTGCTATACTGTGGTTAATATATTTTTTATGTTAATTACACCTATATACTATTTTCTATTTAGATTTATATACAAGTTTAAGTTTTCTAATATTAACACACTCTGCTAGGCCGACGGTGAGTCAATGCAACGTAATTTCATTCTGATGTGCACTAACCGGTGTATGTTCTGAATGACAATAAATGTGGCTGTTCTATTCAATTCAATCTATTCTAGTCTAAAGTGAATGATCAGATTCTATTACTAGTAAAATGGTCTGAGAGGACGGCCATGGGATCTCAGCCAGACAGGTGTCAGTTATGCTCCACCTTTTCTCAGGATATGCTTGCTTTTCTTCACTACTTACCCCCACTAAGATTTACTTCTACATCTACAGTTTCTTGGGCTCGTGTCTCTTCAGGTCAGAAGGTCAGGAATGTTCCGGTTTCTATCCTAAAGGCTCGTGTCAGTGGGAGGTTAATTCCTGGGTGTTACACTAGCTAAGACGAAATAGAGAGGAAGTTGCCAAATGGAGCGGGCAGCGGTCATTCTGCGGACAGCTTTTGCCAAGGACATACAAGCCCACACATGGTGCCTGTGGTCTTCCTCACCTTCCTACACGCCCACACATGGTGCCTGTGGTCTTCCTCACCTTCCTACACGCCCACACATGGTGCCTGTGGTCTTCCTCACCTCCCTGTTCCTCCTCACTGTACCTCATGGTAAGATGTTTTTTTCTGGGAGTGAAGCTCTTTTTATGAATATTACGAAGGATAAAGACAATTCAAAACCCTGATTTAATTACAGATGAGAGCCTGCTGATTATTTATTGTTTTATTGGGTACATCCTATTACAAATACATGAGATGTGCATGTTATTTACTCACCAAATTAAAGCTGAACCTGCAGGCCATGGGGGCACCCAGGACGGGACGGGTCAGTCGATTGCAGGGCACATACAAACCAGTTTGCCTGTTCTTGGACTGTCCAGCGAAATCACCTGCCCACCTCTGCTCTAGGTGAAGGGGGGCGCTTTTAATAGTTCAGGCAGAAGGGGGAGGGGCATCCTCCGGCCAAACCTGTTTCTGTTCCGCGCAGTAGTTTTTGCCAACCCAGTGGGTTTCAGACATATTTCAGGGGAGGAGGGGGTTCAGACCTGAAATTTTACTAGCTGTATATGTGCCTCGATTCCTATTGCCATATGACCCCCCCCCCACAGCCCAATATGTGTGGTGAGCTGGTCTCTGCTTAACCGTGTGTGTCAGCTTAAACTGCACCTTGACTGAATGTGTCTGGCAAGGAGTAACAATCAATAATTATGAAATTATTCATAATATGGGAACTGCACAAGCTTTACAAAAGATTGTAGCAAAATGGATTTTCTTCATATGACAGAATAACAAACCGTTGGGAAATTTTGTTTTGGTTCCTTAAATCTTCGTTATTACTCAATGCTACGGCTTTCTTTTTCAACTCTCGTTCTTCTAAAATAAAACAACCAGAAAGAAAGAGCATTTGAGGATGCTTGAAAGTTTCCCCTTTGGGACCTGCTGTGTACAAAATTAGGGAAATAGAGATGAAAAGAGCTTGTTCCCTTTCCGAAGTTCAGATGATTATAACAGACGATAACACATCAAAGAAAATAATTAAAACATACGTACAATTCAATGGCAAAAAACACAAAAAATTTGCCTTTAATTCACAACAGTTTTCGTGATGATATGTTATTTGTGTTTAGAGTGAAACAGTGGTTTACACTATAGGTTGGTGGTTTAGTTTCACCCACCCAGCTCTGCACCTGTTTTCTCTAGGGTCTGGGACATCCCCTTGCAGTCTGTAAACTTAATACATGATTGGTGTCCCTTGTGTGTCACTGTTTGAGTAAACATGTCACCTGCAATAGACTGGCTGGGATGTTACGTGTCACTGTTTGTGCAAACATGTCACCTGCAATAGACCGGCTGGGATGTTACGTGTCACTGTTTGTGCAAACATGTCACCTGCAATAGACCGGCTGGGATGTTACGTGTCACTGTTTGTGCAAACATGTCACCTGCAATAGACCGGCTGGG